GTTTGTTCTATTAATAAATGTTTAACATAGGTTCCAGTTTGATTATCCAAAGGAACGATTAATGAAAACTTCTTGTGAAAAGCATCAGGATCAGCTTCTTGTCACCAGATAGATAATTCCTCTACACATTTGAAGATAAAAGTTGGGATTCTTTTAATTGGTGAATTTTATTACTGTCAATATCTTGGTTACTGTCAATATAGTATAATTTAGCAGAATGTTATCATTGAGGTAAACTGAGAATGGTGCACAGGGATGTCTTGTGTTATTTCTTACACTTACATGTGAATCTATAATTATTTAATTATTTCAATGAAAAAAATTGGAAGTCAGGTGTGGCTGAGGGAGGAGAATCTCCCTGAAGGTTATAGTCAAAGCATTTATTAGGACTGACCTGTGAGACATGGACTGAAGGAAGATGGAGTGCTTCTCTTCCAGTGTGATTTTGATCATGGCTTTTTCCAGAGCATTTGAACTAGCTGCTGGATTGGGCCACCATGAACTTGCCCATCCATCACAGGGAGACCTGGCCTTCGGAGATGATGGCCTTCAGTCCTGGGAGGAGCCTGCAATTCATCATCAACCTTCCCAGTTTGTACCATCCATGGAAATCCAGGACAGTAAGGAGCTAAACAGAACCTTCTGTCTGTATGGGGAAACCTGCATCCTGGGGTCCTTTTTGCCTGCCCTCCCTCTTTCTATGGATGGAACTGTGAGCATGACTTGCACAAAGAGAACTGTGCACCTGTGCCCCATCACACCTGGTTGCCCAGGAAGTGTTCCATGTGTAAGTGCTGGCATGGCCAGCTTTGCTGCCTTCCTCAGTCATTCCTACCTGGTTGTGATGGATAACCACCTCACAGCTTCTGGGACTCCAGAATTAACACTGTCTGCATGTGCTCTTATGCTACCTGGCATCTGCCTTGCTATACAAAGTTATAATTAACCCATGTTTGCATGCAACATTTGTCATACAAATTTCATGACCTGTAAAGGCTGTCCCTCCAATGTCCCACCTGAGAGATGATGATTTGTTAGTTGCCTTGAAATAGTGAATAGATTTCCCTAACACAGTGAAATAGTGAATAGATGGTCCCTAACATTTCCTTAACGTACCAACTACTTTCCTCTGCCCTGCCCTCTCCAAAAAACTACTTAAAAAAAAAAAAGTAACCCATATCTTGTGCCCAAGTTCTATGTTTCTTGATACATGTAACTCTGGCAAGGGCTTATTAATAGTTTCCTTTAAACAATTGAATTCTATCTTCAGATTATTAAAGGTTACTCCCAGTGTGGAACTGAGTATAAAGCACTGAATAGAGTTGATCAAAATCAATTAAGTTAATATCTTGAAAAGGAAAGGAAAGGAAGTATCTGTAAAGGGAGCAAAGGAGAAGAGAGGGGCAGATATCAGAGGTGAGAGACAGGATGCTGGAGAAACGGAAGTGTGCGTGTGTCCCTAGGAGACTAGATATTAAAGTGGGAACAAATGAGAAAGAGTTGAGAAAATAAAATGGATTACTTGTTTGATTGGATGGGTATAGAGAAGCAAGTTAAAAAGCTAAGTTGAAGGACAAGTTTCTGTCATCTCTAGGAAGCTGTATAAGACAAGGGCACCGGTTTTCTCAAGGATTTGAAAAGAGAATAAAGTCTCCTTGAAAAAAAAATTCTATGTAAAATCCCCCAATGTATTAAGAGTGCTTAATACATTATGATTTCTCCATACTATGCAATTATTTTAACGGTGGTAAAAGATAAAATGTTCATAATATATTTAATTGTAAACGAGGTGATAAAACTATACATTGTAAAGCCCATTTAAAAAATATGTATCTGGTGTGTATCTGGTGTGCCTAGTAAAAGTGGCAAGTATGTTGAAAAAAAAAATTGAAACTGGGGTCTATATCTCAAATCTTGATGTTAGTAAATTTAGGATAATAGAAAGGAAGTTGGTTGCAAACTTACAGACCTTACTGGCCTAATTTCAGAAGCTGCAACACATGGATGGAATAAAATATTTGAGGTGTTATATACATGATCCATTCATAAGGGATACCTCTAATTAATTAGGGTATTCTGTAGTTCATCACTACACCTAAGTTTTAGGGGAATTCACACCCTTTCAAAATTGTTCTTTAGTATCTCTGACAGAGATTTAATATAGTATTTGGGAGTTGGTGGTTGTCATTTCTAACATCAGTCATAGGAAATTTTTTAAAAACAAACCCATCACCTCACATAGTACCTTTCTTTGTATACTTGAAATTAGCAAGTTTCGAGTATACAATACAGTATCATTAACTATAGTCACCATGCTGTACATTAGATTCCCAGAACTTATTCATCTTATAATTGAAGGTGTGTACCCTTTGACCAGCATCTCCCCATTTCCCCAACATCCCAACCTCTGATAATCACCATTGTACTCTGTTTCTATGATTTTGACATTTTTTTCCCTTAGATTCCACATATAAGTGATACCATGCAACATTCGTCTTTCTCTCTCTGGCCTATTTCACTTAGCATAATGCCTTCCAGCTTCATCCATATTGTCACAGATGATAGGATTTCCTTTCTTTTTAAAGGCTGAATAATAATCCATTACATGTATATACCACATTTTCTTGGTTCATTCATCAGCCAACACACTCTTAGGTTATTTCCATACCTTGGCTATTATGAATAATGCTTCAGTGAAAATGAAAGTACAGATATCTCTTCAAGATAATAGTTTCATTTCCTTTGGATATATACTTAGAAGTAGGGTTAGTGAATCATGTGGTAGTTCTAGTTTTAATTTCTTGAGGAGTCTCCATACTGTTTTACATAGTGGTTTACCAGTTTACATTCCCACCAACAGTGCACAAGGGTTCCCTTTTCTTCACATCCTTGCCAACATTTGTTACCTCTTTTCTTATTGATGATAGCCATCCTAAAAGTTACAAGGTTATAGCTCATCATGACTTTGATTCACATCTCCTTGATGACTAGTGATGTTGAGCACGTTTTTGTGTACTTGTTGGCCATTTATATGTCTTCTTTGGAAAAATGTCTGCTCATGTCCTTTGTCCAGTTTTAAATTAGAGTATTTGGTTTTGATTTTGCTATTGGGTTGTATGAGTTCCTTACATATTTTGAATATTGACCTCCTATAGATATATGGTTTGCAAATATTTTGTTCCATTTCATAGGTTGCCTTTTCATATTTTATTGAGGCATAATTAACTCATATAACACTATATTAGTTTCAGGTATACAACATAATGATTTGTTACTTGAATATATTATAAAATGATCATCACAATAAGTCCAGGTAACACATGTCACCACACATAGTTACAATTTTTTTCTTTATGATGCGAACTTTTAAGATTTACTCTATTGGCATCTTTCAAATGTGCAACACAGTGTATCATTAACTATAGTCACCATGCTGTACATTATATCCCCATGACTTATTTATTTTATAACTGGACGTTTATACCTTTTAACTCCCTTCACCCGTTTCACCCACCCCCTACCCCCCACCTCTGGCAACAACCCATCTATCCTCTGTATCTGTGAACTTGGTTTGGGTTTTTGTTTTGTTTTGTTTTGTTTTAGATTCTACGTAAGTGAGTTCATATGGTATTTATCTTTCTTTGTCTGACTTATTCCACTCAACATAATGCCCTCAAAGTCCACCCATGTTGTCACAAATAGCAAGATTTCATTCTTTTTTTTATGGCTGAATTATAGTACATTGTAGGTATTTACCACATTTTCTTTATCCATGCATCCACCAATGGACACTTAGATTGTTTCCATGTCTTGGCTATTGTAAATAATCGATCCAGCAAAGCAGAGTAAAAGAAAAAATAAAACAGAGCTGGGGGAGGAAACATAGTAAATGAGACATGTAAAGTAAGATTGTAGAAATATGGCCAAATATGTAAGTGATCACAACAAATGTGAATGGTTTAAATTTTCTTATTAAAAGTTTAAATTCGCCCTCACACTGGTCAGAATGTCCATCGTCAAAAACTCTACAAACAATAAATGCTGCAGAGGGTGTGGAGAAAAAGGAACCCTCCTACACTGTTGGTGGGAATGTAAATTGGTACAGCCTCTATGGAGAACAGTATGGAGGTTCCTTAAAAAACTAAAAATAGAATTACCATATGACCCAGCAATCCCACTCCTAGGCATATACCCAGAGAAGACCATAATTCCAAAAGATACATGCAGCACAGTGTTCATTGCAGTACCATTTACAATAGCCAGGACATGGAAGCAGCCTAAATGTCCATCAACAGAGGAACAGTTAAAGAAGATGTGGTACATATATACACAAAATATCATGTCAGGTGTCATCATCAGTTTTACATCCAAAATAGACTAAAAATCCTTTTAAGGATAAAGCCTTGAGGAACCAAAATGTCTTCAGGGAGACAAACATATTAACAAAACAAAATAGCTGTCTTAAACATTTCAAATGGCACAATTAAAGAATGAAATGGATTTTGTTTTAATTTCTACCATGTTGAAAATTTTTAATTTTCAGTATCATTTTTTCCTGCTATGGAGTAAATAGACATATTTTTCATAATTAAAATGTATATTTAGTAATATTAAAAATGATTAATATGCACATTCCCAACATATTATTCCATAGAAAAATGTAGAAAAGGGTCATGTCATCCCATGGCTATTCCCTTAGCACATAGATCATATTTTATAAATATCCCAAGTCCTCCATAATGCATATTTAGCTGGTTATAAAAATTTGTTATTTGATAAATGCATCACAATAAAGTGCACACCATAAAAATACACATTTCCAATTTATCACATCTGCAAAACTATTAGGCATTAGATAGCAATACCTCTATAGAGATATAAGTTCAGAAGAAGCTAATGTCCTCACATGTCTGTCCTCCCTCTTTCCCGCCCTCCGTCCCTCTCTCCCTCTCCTTCTCTCTCTCTCTCTCACACACACATACACACACAAGCATTAAAGAAAAATATAAATTCAGTTTTATTAAATAGTGAAATTCTTATTATAATCTTATATCATATTAGCTAACAGTAGGTTGGCATTTTACAGATATTAAAATAACAGAAAAGGCACATTCAAACAGGGTTGGAGGGAATGTAAATTGACACAGTTTGACATATTAGTCAATAAAAGAAATGCACAAACCCTTTGACCTGGCATTTTCACTCAAGGAAATTATCTTACAAATATATTCAAACACATACAAAGAGATATAGTCACAAGAATCATTCTATGTAGTATTGTTTATAATAGCAAAATAAACAAAACTTAATCTACATGTCCACCACTAGAGTTGTGGTTAATTAAATTAAATTCCATTACATACAATGGAATTTTTTGTACCCATCAGGAAGAATGAGGTAGCTCTGCTTGTGTTGATATAAAAGATCTTCAGGATATATTATATTATTAGCTATCTGTAAGTACAGAACAAAACTATGGTATGTTCCCATTTGTGTCTTGACAAGGTTATGTGTATGTATATGTAAATGGACATATAAGTGCACACATATACCATGCACATATAGATATGACATATGCACAAAGAAATTTTCTAGAAGATTACATAAAAACTGTTGGTTAATTGTTCCTTCTGTGGAGTTACTTGAGGTAACTCAGTTTTCATCATCTTCTGTGTTGAACAATTTGAATATTTTATCATGAGCATGAGCTTTCTTTGTAATAATATCAGTTCTTCAAAGAGCTACATAGTAACAGCTAAAATTCTAAAATTTCAAATGTATAAGGATATGAATGCAAATCCTCTAGAATGTCTCTGTCTTCTAAGAATCTTTGAAAAGCTAATTTCAAAATAAGCCTTCCATTCCAGAACTCCAAGAAAATCAAAACAGTATCTGTACTGTATCTTGATTCATTTGTCCTGGTGCTACACTTCAGGAACATATACAGTATGGAGACTCATCCCATCAGCTTCACTTTGTAACACCTTAGACATCTTCACCCTGTTTGTAGTATCATAAAGTGGATTGTTCTTCTCTGTGTAGCTGGCATAGGGCTGCATTTCATCCTAAGAAATAACCCAAAGTTAAAATCAATTCAAAAAAGCCAGAAATCAGTAACCACCTATGTTTTTCTAACAAGGGCCCACAGCTTTAGTGTCTACCAATAGTAGTCTCTGGGCTTACATGAACATAAGGGCAAGACTTTTCTAATATTTTATCAGAAAACTATTGATGATTTAAGTCTCAGTGTGACATGATAACAGTTGTCTGAAAGTAGGAGTGGAGAAGAATGGAGTGATATGAGAAGTATTTCAGAGGAGAGTGTCAAAGACTTAGTAAGCTGTTGGCTATAAGAGATTATAGAGCTGGATAGGTTTTAAGCTTGGGTAAGAGAGAAATAATGATGGTATTGAAAAAAGGAAGTCAAGAATTAGAGCTGGTTTAATGGGAGAGGAAATACCAATTCAACTTCTCCAAAGATTACAGCCCAAATGAGGCAAACATTATGTCTTTTGTAGGATACAGTTCTTGAAAGAAAAATATGGATTTGGAGTGTATATAAATAGTACGTGGTGGATAATTAACAAAATAAGTATACCTGACAGCACTGTAAAGTTAGAAATTTTGCTTTTCAACTAAAATACTAATAATGATGCAAATTACAAATTATGTGACTAGATTTTCAGACTACATAGTTTAAAAGTTTATAAATATTCTTTTTAATCTTATCTTACCTCCTCAACAACTGAAGTATGTTCTGTTTTTTTCAGTTTTCTGCAAAAATAAAAATTAGCTGGAGTGAATGTCAAAACATTATTACTCAGATTGAAAATGGAAAAACAAAACAGTATGCTGTTGACAGTTGTGGTTCATTTTGATAGAAGGCTTAATAAATCAGAAATGAACTACCAGAAATGAGTGAAGAATGCTGCTTGTAAGTTAATTCATCCAAATAAGATAATTCTGGATTTTGGAAAAGGAAGTGAAATTATGCAAAGATGTTTGATGTAATAGAATATATGTGACACCTCATATTTGGTGTATGAAATGAATCATTGTAATTCTTTTCTCAAATAGAAAATAGCATGCACTGTCTCTCCCAAGATCCTGCCCCAAGTGGGCTATGCTTGCATGTCTAATTCACTATGCTTGCATGTCTAAGTAACCTAGAAAAATCCCCCTCGTCATTAGTGTAGTCCAAGTCTGTTATTTTCAGGACACACTTATTGATTATGAGAGAACTGAGGTTAACATTTTTTTTTAATTTTTATTTTATGTTGGACTATAGTTGATTTACAATGTTGTGTTAGTTTCAGGTGTACAGCAAAGTGATTCAGTTATACATATACATATATCGATTCGTTTTTACATTCTTTTCCCTTTTAGGTTATTACAGAATATTGAGCAGAGTTCCTTTTTTACCCAGTCAATTCCATTTTTCTGACTCTTTTCTAATCCAATAAATCAGGAGAAGAGAAAGCATCAGTCAGTACCTGCAGCCACTGATTTTCAAAAGCCAAATGGATCCAACGATGACCAAGATAATAAAAATAGGGGGGACGATACGTAAAATTCTTAAGGGTGCTGATGTTTTGGCATCTGTAAATGTAGACACAAAAATGTATGATTTACTATTATTCAGCAGTAGACAGAAATGAGCTATCAAGCCATGAAATCATGGAGGAAAATTAAAAGCATATTACTAAGTGAAAGGGACCAATCTGAAAAGGCTAAATACTGTATGATTCCAACCATATGACATTTGGAAAATACAAAACTATGGAGTAAAAAGATCAGGGGTTGTTAGAAGTTAAGGTGGAAGGAGGGATAAATAGGTGGAACATAGAGGACTTTTATGGCAGTGAAACTACACTATATGATACTATAACGGTGAATACATGGCATTTATACATTTGTCAAACTTCATAGAATGTGCACCTAGAACGAACCCTAATGTAAACTATGGACTTTGAGTGATAATGATGTGTTAAGGTAGGGTCATTCATTATAACAAAGGTACAACCGCAGTGCGGGGGATTTAGATAGACAGGGAGACCATGCATGTGTAGGATCAAGGGTTATATGGGAGCTCTGTACTTTCCACTCAATACTCCGTCATCATAAAACTGCTCTAAAAAATAAAGTCTGTTTAAAAACTATATATATAGAATGGTTCAAGAATGTCTCACAATACATGAAATTCATTTCTGTGATTTTATTTGAAAAACTTTTGATCCATTTATAGTTCAAATAATTGTTATAATTAAATTGCTTTATCATTTCAGACTTAAGTTTTCAACAAGACATCATCTTCTATCGGTATTTTGTTGCTTTAAGGATTCATGTGGTGAATTCCTATAAGAGAGATGTGAAATTTAGACCTCTCTGTTATAGTAATAGAGTGTTTCTCATCTCCAATATTCAGAAATCAATAGAGTTGTAAGGAAACTATTTGGATAAATAACCCTAATTCTGAAGTCACCTTTCTTCCAGGGCATTGAAACTGAAATGAATGCATGGCAGCAACTTTAAACTATTCACTGACTGCTGGCAGCAATACAAAGTTCAATCTGATAGGAGGACAAGTCAACCAAGGAATTACCAGCTCTGAGAGGTTTTGAGACTGTGCTCCTGGTGTTTCGTGAACGCGGCTGGGGCAGCAGAGGGAGGTAAGTGGAGGCCGCATCCAGTCCCTCCACCTTCCTTCAATACTTTGTTTTTAAACATTGGATTTTTATTTGAAAAAGAAGTTTGGTTTTGCATTTTTAAATGACAACATTGTTTTGAAACCCTCTCTTTCAAACTAATGGGCTCTCTTTTATTGGAAGTGCACTAGCACAGGTGAAGGTCCACCCTGCGAGGAAGACATATCTGCACTGGGTGGGAGTGGACTAGAGAGTCCCTCCAGTTCTGAGATTCTGTAAATATGACATCATATTGTACTACTGGGTGGTCGGACTTCATACATAACCAGTGGCAATCACTCTTCTCAGTAAATACTGCTAAACTATTAATATGTGTATAAAAGTTTAAGAATAGATATTAGAAAATTGTGGCTTAAACCCATGTGTTTTCCTCTTCTCCTTTCTTAACACTTACTAAAATATCAGCAGAGAATTTTTTAAAGTATAGACTTACAAGGACAAAGAGAACATGGATGAAGACAAGAGCAGATGAAATATTTCAACTTGTTTTTAGGGTGAAAAATTAACAGAAGAATGGCCAATAATTCTGAGTGAAATAAGTATAAACCTTAGTGAACTCCAGGAAGACTCTAGAGTAGGAAAGACCAAATATAGAGAAGGGGGAATGTAGGGAGTGAAGTGTGGAGCTAAAGTTGGAAGCTTCCTTGAAGGTCTGTATTAAGAACAGATGGCACAAGAGGGAAGAGATATGGGAACATGTGTATATGTATAACTGATTCACTTTGTTATAAAGCAGAAACTAGCACACCGTTGTAAAGCAATTATACCTCAATAAAGATGTTAAAAAAAAAAAAAAAAGTACAGATGGGCTGCCAAGTCTCCTCCCAGCCCGTGCAACCAGGTCATCACACCTTCCCCGACCAGCAGAAAACAGGAAGTGTGACCCAAAGAAGATGAACTGGAGAAACTCCAGAGTTTCAAGGATCCAGACATAATGGACGGTGAAGATGAAGTGTCATTAAAAGAAAGTTGAGTTCTGAACAGTCTCACACACACACACACACACACACACACACACTCTCTCTCTCTCTCTCTCTCTCTCTCTCTCTCTCTCTCTCTCTCTCTCTCTCTCTCTCTCTCCCCTCTCCTCCCTGCTCCCAGAACACTGATAGTCAGGATTATCCCTCCCAGGCAAGAGACTGGAGAGTTATTTTCTGCAGAGTCTGAATAGCCTCAGAGAAAAGACCTTCAGGTACATAAGGAAATAAGGAATCCCCAATTTTAAAACAATCACCTGTTTTCACCCTATAGAAACCTATTAGCTAACAAACCCACTCACAGATAATATAGCTTCCAATCAGCTCCTTAGTGTTCACTTTGAAGTGAACAGATAGCCAAGGAGTTAAGGAAAGCCTTGTATGTGGAAGAGAGATTAAAACAAACAAATGTCAGGAAGGCAGAAGGAACTCAGATTACACAGACGTGGCATCAACCAGCGGACTGAGGAAAAGAGAACATCCAGGACAATAGCTGTGCGGCATGTCTCGTGACCAACCAGGCCAGATTAGAACAAGAGTGGGTAAAAACTCAAGAAAGAATGTCTTCAAGAAAAAAAAAATGGAACTGACATTACCTAACAAATCTGACCATGTGGAAAGCAGTATTAAGAGGCGTTTTCTAGGGTTTTGTTTTGTTTTGGTTTTAGTGTTAGTGATAATTAATAATAGGTACATGCATTATTAAGGAAATGAAAAAGGAAAGCAATTAAGGCCAGGAAAAACAAAAAGTTATTCAAAAATGAAAGTATGAGTTTATTTCTTGATTCAGAGCTTAACAGAACATACATGTTCAAAATAATGTAAACACTGGCTATTTAATTTAACCAAAAATTGCTATTTTACTACATATGAATGGTGAGGGAAGAGAAGGTAAAGTTAAATCCTCGTCTACCATAAGAGGAAGTGGGTACACTAAGTTTAAATTTGCTATATTAAGAAATAGCAGCACAACCATGTTGTTTATAAAAACTGAGTCAATTACTAGAAGAAACACTTGAAGATCTGAAAGTACTTGTCTCTAGAGAGTTGTGTAAGAATGGAGAAGTGGAGTTGGAGAGGCAGAGAGATGGCTAACGTTTTTCATGGTAGCCTTATAGAACAACATAGACTTTAAACTATATGAGTTATGTTGATTAGAATAATATTTTTTATAACAAGAAATAAGAGTAGATGGGAGCAGAGGGTAGAGAAACTAAACTGTAATGAACTGAATCATAGATACTATTATAAGACATTAAAGAAATTTCACTGGAAGACCCTGGAGGAGAAAATTCTACCAGACTGAAAATTCATGAAGATAATTTATGAGCAACGTTATTCTTCTAATAAAATAATAATTATTTGTTTAAAATTACCCATTATCCTTCTATTAAAACCATAAATATTTATGTAAAAGTACACTACACAAGCCAATTTAGTAGTGCAGAAGAGAACATTAAAAGAAGAATAAATTGGGAAGTTCACTAGTGGCCTAATGGTTAGGATTCGGGCTTTCACTACCATGGCCCGGTTCGAATCCCTGGTTCCGGAACTGAGATCCTGGAAGCTGTGCAGCATGGCCGAAAAGAAAAAAAAAAAAAAAGAAGTAGAATAAACTGCATTTGATAATATGGCTTTTTACAATAAATTTTTGTATTATTCTTCCAGGCAATCTCTTTACTTTGAGGAGGAAAGGGAGATAAAGTGGAGGGTGGAAAGGATATCTTTGAATGAAATTTCTCTGCACACTCCTTTTTCCTTCTTAAGGTAACTCTTCTGAAAGAATGAAAAAATCAAAACCAAAACTAGAAAAATTACTAACCTTGATCCAGCTCTATGGACAGACTCTTGTTGCCAGTCAAGTGGGAGACAGAGCAAGACACATTAGGTACATGGCGGCCCTCCCAGTAGCATGTACTCTGGATGGTCACTGTGTCATTGTCCCAATGACGTTTTTGCTCAGTGACACAGTCTCCCTCTGGGGTCCAGGAGATCCGTGCAGCTGGCTTCCCTGCAACTGCCTTGCACACTGCAGTTCCATTCTCAGTTTGAACCAGGATCACCTCAGGGGGCACTGCAGAAATGTAGGGGAAATGCTTCAGTCTTAACACATGGGACATGGAATTTGGAGATTTGTTTCAGCCCAAAATCTGGTTATCTGAAATACCACAATATATGACGTTCCTTACCTAACACTTGGAGGTGATATCCACGATGGAAATTCCCATTAGGTGTTACCATTTGACACCTGTAATACCCATCATGAGTGATGGCCACTGGATCAATCTGAAGGGCAGGATTCTTGTCAAGTCTGGAGGCCCAGGTTATTCTCTCGTCGGTACAGTTTCCTCCCTTGGTCTCATTTGTATCACCCCTGAAGGCTCTGAAGCAGGGCAGCTTGTCTCTGAGGACTATTTCCCATGTTGTTAGCAGTATACTTGTGCACGGCACAAGAGGGCAAGAGAGCACAGCCTTTGTACCCACTAGTACTGATAGTGAAGTGTTAACTGTACACACACACACACACACACACACACACACACACACAGACACACATGCACAAACACAGAGAATAATAAGAGAAAAGTTTGATAAAGAATTTCAGTGTTAAAATTTATTCACAGCATATTACATGAAATTGTACTTGAACATTACTTTGCATGGTCTTATTCCAGAAATATTAGACTTATGTAAGAAATTAACATTCATGAAGTATACATAAAGTATTAAACCCATCCAAAGATTAACCAACTTCCTCCAGTATTATGCATCATTAGGAAAACAACATGAATTATATATGTGACAAAATTGTTTAAAGTGTTATGAAATTAATTCAGGAGATTTGATCTATAAGACAAACAGATGAGAATGCAGAATCTAAATTAAAAGACAAAGGCACTTTTCTAAATCTAATCTTTTGGCTTCAGAGACTATTAGATTTATCATACAACTCATGCTCCTCAGGGGGAAAAAAAATGGAATAATTAGTGATGTGGTTTTCTCCTCCTAAGTTTTGATGAAAGTGAAAAATCAGTAACATCAGAACTAAACACCTATCCTTAAGGGTGGCAATTCAGACAAACATAAATGTGGAAAGATATGGTACTTTCATTAAAAATAGCTAAGATGGCAATCAGGCTGAACAAGGTGGAAATTATTTTGTTTAATTTTTATTCAGAGAATCACAAAATCAGTTAAATCAACAGATTTTATTTATTTATGTAAAGAATAAAAATTTCCTTTATTCTTCCTAACACCTTAGATGTACTTCCTAAGTCTACAAAACGAGAAGCACTTGCTCTTTCAGATGTAAATATGCACACTTAAGTATGTATTTACATACAAACATGCATATTTTAATTTATATATATATATATATATATATATAAATTGAGATGTATATTGCATATCATACTGTGTATATTGTCCTAAGTCTTTTTTGTTGATATATAATAGACCTATCACCATATCAGTATACCTACATCAATCTCACTCTTTTTTTTAATTAATTAATTTTTATTGGAGTGTAGTTGCTTTACAATGTTGTGTTAGGAAAACTGGACAGCTACATGTACAAGAATGAAATTAGAACACTCCCTAACACCATACACAAAAGTAAACTCAAAGTGGTTTAAAGACCTAAATGTAAGGCCAGACACTATCAAACTCTTAGAGGAAAACATACGAAGAACACTCTTTGCATAAATCGCAGCAAGATCTTTTTTGATCCACCTTCTAGGGTAGTGGAAATAAAAACAAAAATAAACAAGTGGGACCTAATTAAACTTAAAAGCTTTTGCACAACAAAGGAAACCATAAACAAAACAAATAAACGACCCTCAGAATGGGAGAAAATATTTGCAAATGAAGCAACTGACAAAGGATTAATCTCCAAGTACAAGAAGCTCATGCAGCTCAACATCAAAAAAACAAACAGCCCAATCCAAAAATGGGCGGAAGACCTAAACAGATATTTCTCCAAAGAAAACGTACAGATGGCCGACAAACACATGAAAAGATACTCAACATCACTAATTATTAGAGAAATGCAAATCAAAACTACAATGAGGTATCACTTCACACCGGTCAGAATGTCCATCATCAAAAAATCTACAAACAGTAAATGGTGGAGAGGGTGTGGAGACAAGAGAACCCTCTTACACTGTTGGTGGGAATGAAAATTGATACAGCCACTATGGAAAATAATATGGAGCTTCCTTAAAAACCTAAAAATAGGGCTCCCCTGGTGGCACAGTGGTTGAGAGTCCGCCTGCTGATGCAGGGGACATGGGTTCGTGCCCCGGTCCGGGAGGATCCCACGTGCCGCAGAGCAGCTGGCCCCGTGAGCCATAGCTGCTGAGCCTGCGTGTCCGGAGCCTGTGCTCCGCAATGGGAGAGGCCACAGCAGTGAGATGCCCGCGTACCGCAAAAACAACAACGACAACAACAACAACAACAACAAAAAACTAAAAATAGAGCTACCATATGACCCAGCAATCCCACTACTGAGCATATAGCCAGAGAAAACCATAATTCAAGAAGATACATGCACCCCAATGTTCATAGCAGCACTATTTACAATAGCCAGGACATGGAAGCAGCCTAAATGTCCATAAACAGAGGAATGGATAAAGAAGATGTGGTACATATATACAATTGATATTACTCAGCCATAAAAAGGAACGAAATTGGGTCATTTGTGGAGATGTGGGTGGACCTAGAGAGTGTCATACAGAGTGAAGTAAGTCAGAAAGAGAAAAATAAATATCATATATTAATGCATATATGTGGAATGTAGAAAAATGGTATAGATTACCTTATTTGCAAAGCAGAAATAGAGATACAGACGTAGAGAACAAATGTATGGATACCAAGGGGGAAAGGGGTGGGGTGGGAGGAATTGGGAGATTGGGATTGACACATATATACTGTCAATACCATGTATAAAATAGCTGATGGGAACATATTGTAAAGCACAGGGAACTCTACTTAATGCACTGTGGTGTCCTAAATGGGAGGGAAATCCAAAAGGGAGGGGATATATGTATATGTGTGGCTGATTCATTCTGATGTACAGTAGAAGCTAACACAACATTGTAAAGCAACTATACTCCAATAAAAATTAACTAATAAATAAATAAACAAACAGATTTTTAAATAATCTGTAATTTCTTTAGTTCGACCACCTCACAAAAATGAAAAATGATGATGCCAAGTGGTAAGAGATGCTTAGAAGTATTCTTCTAGAAAAAAAGTACTATAGTATATAAATACAAATCAATGCAAAAACAAGGATGTTTCCTCTGTAAATTTTCTATAAAAAGGATTTTATTGCCAGCATGTAATAGTATCAAATATGGCCTTTCAATGAGTTCCCCTTCCCTCCTATTCATTCACATATATACTCCCTGACAGTTTGCTGTGAACCTTGCTCACAGATTTTGTTTCCATGCGTTCAATAACATTATCAGGATTAAATATAGCATTGACCTATTTTTCCATATTTTAAAGTACAAATAAAGACTGGCAAGCATCTCCTAATGTAGAAGCTCAAGCTTTCCCATAAGCTGACATGTGTACCTGACAGAAAGGGGTTTGCTGACAGGTGATTAGGTGTATCTGTCACAAGTCACCTGTAACGAAGGAGAGCGTCATTGATTTCATCAGTTTAACATAAACAGAACCAGCTGTGGTATGGCAAAACTTTTACGTGGATGAAGCTTATTTTTTCTAAACTTTGCATTTAATATTTCTCCTATCTTCTTTTGGTGTCATCTGCCCCCTCTGTGGTGTACTCAAGCCTTTGCATTTCATGACCAAATAAAGATCATATTACTAGATGAAGGAAGAGAGAGGATTTTAATGCAGATCTAAGAGGGCAGGTAAATCCATGCTCTTTCCATCACTCCAAGTGGCATCCCCTCATAGCAAGAAACTCCAATTTGGCAAAGGCTTGGAGAGAAGCAAAAACATGGCTTTTTAGAGAACTGCTAGAGGTTGGGTGTGGGAAGCATATATGTGCATAAGGGAATTGTGATTAAGATAAAACCAGAAAAATAAGAGACTGGCGAGATAGCAAGTTGTGAATGTCCTGCTGTTCTTGGGATTTGGAAGTTTAGCTTATAAGCCGTATAAGGCTTTAATATTTAACCTCAATATCTGACTCATTTTTGTAAAAGAAAGTTCTTGCTAATCAAATAAACATGTATTTGAACAGGGGCACAGTATCCGAAGAAGTAACTCTAATGGTGAGGATTCCAAGCACTTCAGATATTCTCTGTTCTTTCACCTTCCTCCATTCTATAAACTTCAGTCAATCACCCTACACCTATAATGATAGTTCTTATGTTATTGTTATTTTTTCACCCTTTCTTCATCCTCTTCTTTCCTTTTTCATACCTGTTGTGATAAGTTACACAACGGCCAATACCTCTACAACACTCAGTGGGTTTGGCACCTGTCTGACAGATATATTCTCCATATGCTCCTGTGATCAGCTAGGGTGATTTCACTTCTTGCTTCACTGAGAAGATAGTAGATTCTCATCTCTGCTCCCAACCCGGCAGTCACATCCCCTCTTTTCTGCATCCTTTGCCTACAAATATCTTCCAGTCTCATCCAGCCTTATGCACACTGACAAATTCTTATTGGCTTTGGGGCATTTCCTTTCTTTTCTCACAACCATAACCTAGATTAAGTCCTCATTGCCATGTACCTGGATTGCTGCAGAGGCCTCCTAACTTCTGTCTCTGTCTCAAAACCCTTCTCCTTTCAGTTCATACCTTACACTGCAGCCAGTACATCATTCTGTAACACAGATGTGATTCCCTCAACTCTAAAACCCTCCAGAGATCTCTCACTGCCTGAAGAATAAGTTCAAATGTCTTCGTATTGGCTTTGAAAGCCCTCTTTTTCACATTGACTCACTTTGCAATCTTATCACCCACTACATTCCCCCAAACTGCAGAAAAAAACACCAAGCACAATTCCATTTCTATGTCATTTCTCACGTCGCACTCTCTAA